GTTCAACATACTACTATACTCTCTATCTCCTCTAAAGTCTTCACTTTTATCCCCTATTTCCCTCTATCTATCTTGTCTTCCTGTTATCTTCCCTCATATTTTCCTTTTTCCTCTACTTTATAAGGTAAGTGTGGTTCCCTACGATAACTTGTCTTTACATCAAATAGTTTTTGAAGTGCCTCAAGGTTTCATGCATTTTGGCTATAACCTCCTTTCAGCATGTTTTTATCCAGAATTAAGTTATACTTTGGGATTTTACTCACTACAGGTGTGTTTCTCTTATGTCTTTCTACAGCATCAGAGTATTTTCGATTGCTGCAATCATTTGCATTTTTCTTGTGCTGCCAGTTAACTATTATGGGCAAGAGAGAGCACACAAGGAAATCCATTTAGAGTCATTGGAGGCCTTTACAATTGGAAACGTCAAAGAATGTTCAAGATGGTATAAGCTTATAAGCTGATGCTTTTCAAAAGAATATGTGCATGGAAATTTCCTTTTCAGAGTGTGTGTGGCTGGGTTTCTGATGAGTTCATTATTAGAAGAAGATCGTCCTGCCATTCCTTATTTAAACTTTTGTTTGGTTGCTTGCTAATGAACACACAATTATCCCTATAAAAATGTTATAGACTTTTGTTGTATCAGATTACCAGCAACAGATTCTATGGAGTATTGTTCCCAATTGATTTTTTCTTTTCCAATCATTATCAGGCTTTGGGCCCATTGTCTTGCCTTGTATGTGATATCCTGCTCAGCTTGTATCCTGCTATACTTTGTAAGGATTTAGCATAACTTTTATTTGCTTATGCAAGATTCAACTTTGCTGATGATTTTCAATTTACTATTTTCTTACTTCTTGTTTATGTATTTTTTTTCTCCTAGGAATATAAAAGTATTGTTCAATTGAGGCTAGCACGTTTAACTGGATGCCCTCCAAATCTAAGTCATTTTGCAGTTCTTGTCCGTTCTATTCCATGGTCTCCAGAACAATCTTATAGTGAATCAGTGAGAAGTTTCTTCACAAAGTATTATGCATCAAGCTACTTATCGCACCAAATGGTGTATCGTTCTGGTACCATTCAGAAACTGCTGGTATGCATCTATCTACCTATGCAAGTGAGGAGTTTTATCACTTTAATTTCCTGTCTTTAACTGATAATTTATTAAGGCTTTTTCTCCTCTCTAAGTTGAGGCTCATATGTAGCCTTATTGTTTTAATTTGTTTACTCCTCCCTGGATATCCATATATTAATTATAGAGTTTTCTGCTTGAAGATGTAGGAACAAACTTAAGTTTGCTTCATTTCTTCAGATTAAATTTTCTGCAACCATTTCTTCGGAACTTTTCTCCATAGAACTTAATGTAGAAATTTAGAGAAAAATATTTACTTTATTTTCACTATATTTTTGGTGTTACAAATAACTCATATATATATGAATTTCTAAGTACAAATAAGAAATTTATCTTATAATAGGGATTTTAAATAATTACAAGAAATTAATAGTGAGAGTTATATAGAAAAAAAATATCACAATTATTTAGGTAATAAAATATTCGTGTCAACACTCCCCCTCAAGTTGGTGCGAAAATATCACACATGCCTAACTTGCATATCATGTTGAATTGGAGTTTGGGCAATACTAATGACTGTTTTATTGTCACAAAACAATGATAAACTCTCTTCTTTAAACAATTTTAATTCATTCATTAGCTTTTACAACTATAATAATTCACATACCCCTTGAGTTATTGCTCTATATTCTGCTTTAGTATTGGAACGGGCAACTACATTTTGTTTCTTACTTTTCTATGTGACTAAGTTGCCACCAACGACTGTACAGTAATCGGTAGTTGACCTTCTATCATATGGAGATCTAGCGCGATTGACATCTATAAATGCTTCTATCTTAAGGTGACCATTTCTGGAGAAGAGTAAATCTTTTCCTGATGCAGATTTCAGATATTGTAATATTCAAAAAACGGCATGTAAATGAGTCTCACGAGAATTATGCATGTACTGACTCACTAGACTAACTGTATAAGTTATATATGGTCTGGTACGTGAAAGATAAATGAGTATTCCAATCAATTTTTGATATCTTCCCATGTCAACTAATGCACCACTGCTATCTTGTAGTTTATGATTACTTTCAATAGGAGATTCTCTTGTCTTGCAATCCATCATTCTACTCTCTTCTAATAAGTGTAGGATATACTTTTTTTGAGAAATGAATATTTTTTTATTAGATCTGACAAATCTTAGTTCCTAAAAGTACTGCAATTTTTCTATATCCTTAATTTCAAATTCTCGAGAAAGAAATTCCTTTAGTTGAATCATCTCTTTTGTATCATCTGCAGTTATTACGATATCATTTACATAAACAATGAGAAGAGTGATCCTACCCTCACAATGCTTGATGAACGGAATATGATCATTATTGTTTTGCTGATATCCAAAAGAGATCATATCTCTTTTGAACCTTTCAAACCATGCTCTTGGAGACTGTTTTAATAAATAGAAGGTCTTCTTTAATTTGTAGATATTCTTTTGTGTTATTTCATCTTCGAATCTATGTGAAATCTTCATGGCTACCTCTTCGTTTAAGTTTCCATAGAGGAAGATATTTTTTACATCAAACTGGTGTAAATCCCAATCAAGATTAGCAGCATAGAATAGTAATATTTTAATTGTGTTCATTTTTTCGATAGATGCAAAAGTTTCTTGATAGTTAACTCTATAAGTCTGAGTATACCCTTTAGTCACTAATCTAGTTTTGTATATTTCAATTGACTCATATGATTTGTGTTTTATAATGAACACCCACTTATAACTAACCATATTTTTTCCTTGTGGGGTTAAAACAAGCTTCTATGTTTCATGTTTACCAATGCTTTTATTTCTTCAATCATTGTTTCCTTTCGTTTGAGATTTTTTAGAACTTTTCTCCAATCTTGTGAAATAGACACAGAGAAAATAGAGGAAACAAAAGCTCTATAGGAGGGAGATAGAGAGTCATAGGAGACAAAGTTAGGTATAGGATGTTTAGTACAAGTTCTGATTCATTTTCTAAGAGTAATGGGTTTATAAGATAATTTACAAGATAAAGATGACTCATCAGTATTTTTAGGAACTGAGATTCTTGAATTGGGATAGAGTGCATGATGGTTTTTTCTGTCTTATCTCTCATTGAATACCTCTTCAAGTTCGATTTCAGTCGTTCAACATTTTCTTCTTGAATAAGATCTTCTGACATAGAATTCTCTCCCTGAATATTGCTGCCAAGAGTGACCAAACTGGGCATCACCTTTTCCATTTCACTACCCCCCTGAAGAGGTGTTAGGGTGGAGCTGATGGTTAAGATTCTCTAAAAGTAACATCTATAATCACAAAGTATTTTCTAAATGGTGGATGATAACACTTGTACCCTTTTTAAGTAGGAGAATATCCAAAAAATATATATTTGAGAGTTTTAGGTTCCAACTTACTCACATTTCTAGCATGGACATAGCAAATACATTCAAACACTTTGGGGGGAACAGTATACGAATTTGTACTTTGCAAAACTTCCAGAGAACTTCTAAAATCAAGAACCCGTAAAGACATTTTATTAATAAGATGGACAACTGAGAGAACTGCATCTCTCCAATAACTTTTAGGTAGATTCATGGTGAACATTAGTGATCGAGTTATCTATAATATATGTCTCTTTTTTCTTTCAGCAACCTCATTTTGTTCACTGGTGTAAACACAACTTGTCTGATGAATTATCCTATTAGAATTCAAGTAGGCACGAAATCCATCATCCATATATTATGTACTGTTGTCTGTTCGTAGAATTTTAATTTGAGCATCAAAGTATGTAAATACCATTTTATGAAATAACTAAAAGTATAGGAACACATCACTTTGGTTACATACCATTTTATGAAATAACTGAAAGTATAAGAACACATCACTTTTGGCTTTCAACAGATAAATTCATGTTAATGTAGTACAACAGTCAATGAAAGTAACAAACCATTTATATTCAGATAAAAATGTATTATGAGTAAGTCTCCAAACATCAGAATGAATAGTCATAAAAGAAGTAGGATTTCTATGCTTACTCATATGATACGAACTTTTTTTATGTTTAGCTAGCTCACATGCATTACAAAATAAGGAATTTATAGAAGTTCTTTTAAATAATGTGGGATATAATTTTTTTAGAATAAAGAAAGAAGGATGTCCTAACTATCGATGCAACTGTAGGATTTCCCTCTTGACATTTGTATCTTTGAAGGCAACTTGATTCCCAATGACGTTTTGATTTCTATTCAAGACACATAAGTCATCCTGCAGTCTACCTGTGCCAATCGTCTTTCCTGTTTGAAGATTTTGAAGGACACAATTTTAACACCCCTAGATATTTCATAACACACACAATATACTCGAACTCCCTACTTACAAATTCATCCAAGACCAACTGTTCCCCGTGCATTACAATCATCAAATCTATCTAAAGAAATCTTCACAACTCGTTTTCAACTCAACCATATCAAGGTAGCAAATGAAAAGAATCAGGGAAAGTTTTTATTCACTACAGAGATATAAAATGAATGAATATCCAGTATAATCCAACATGCATCCGACTACTTGTCAATTCGCTTCCCCTAGGTATGGTCCCACTGGCTGGGGTTTTGGTTCCGTCTCCTATCCTACTACATCTGCAAATGATAAATAGTGAGCATATTGTAACCCAGTAAAATAAATTCAAAACTCAAATAAGATATGAAAATACATTTTGAACATCTAGCCTAGTGTTAAATCTAACTCCACCCTTACATTCCTCTCACCACACATTCTAACCGTATTCCGCCATTCCTGGTTCCACTCTAGTTCTAGCCCCAA